CTAGAGGTTGATTTTAATGTTTCTCTTGCTTTCCTACTAATGAGTTCTAAATTATAGGACAGATAGAATTTTTTTCCCCTTACTCGTTATTTAAAAGCTAGATCACATTTTAATTTCTAATTGAATTGCCTATAAAATATTAAATAAGATAAATGCAGCACAATTATCCAAGTTAGGAAATGTGCTTTTTGTTTCTTTGCTTTTAAATTCTTAGCTGGGTTTTGTGAAGAGTTTCAGCACAATCTCTTTTCTCTGTTTTTGAAATGGTGCTTCGTTTATATGGCTAGGAAGAGGACACTGCAATTCAACAGTTGGGGTCTTTAGGTGTGATGAGTAAACAAAAGCCGATTCCATTATTCCTGTGGTTTTTCTCATCTTTTTTTCTTTCTATGGACGCAAAATGCTAATTTTCACCTTCAGGAAAAGGTTATTCTATCATTTCTCACGGCCATTAGTGATGGAAGCTCTAATGTGAAGCCCTTAGAATGGACTTCTCTCCCAATACCTTTTGTCTTTTTGATACCCACTTCCGTCGATACCCTGTGGTAATTTTTATAAAGTGCCCGGATGCTCATTCTGCCTAATGTACTCATTATTGACAGTGAGGCTTCCTTTGACTGACAGCTGAGGCTCTGATTCATATGCTTCAGGAGCTGTTGGGCTACAGGTCCAAGCCTGATGAATGAAACAGATATTGTAGTATTATGATGTGATTACCTGGAACCACAAATCCAGATTCACTCAAATGAATTAAATTGATTTTGATTTGCACTCCAAGAAAGTAAGGTTTTAGAATGTCAGCCATCTATTCTTTTCCCTGGTCTTTAGCTAAGTTAAATACTAACCAGATTATATATAAATAAAATCTATCCCAGTAGTAATCCTACTAGGTAAATACCAGGGAAATATAAATAAATATATTTAGCTAAATACCAGGGATATATAAATAAAATCTATCCTAGGATAGATTTTATTTATATATAATCTGGTTATAGCACAGCAGAAATGGTCAAAACCCTAGTTTAATATTTTTTTTTTCTATAAAAGTATATTCTTATGCATAGGACTATATTAAATATTTGCCATGACTCAGAAATAGATTTAGTTTTGACCAGTTAGAAGATACTGTACATTAAACATATGGATAAACAACAGATAATTTCTCACTCCTCACTACCTAGGAATCATTTGCAGTCTTGACACTATTTTTTGGACAAAGATAAGAACTTAATTTGTAGATATGTCAGACTGAGGAAGCCCATCTTCTCTCATCTCCATATTTTTTTTACTGCTATTAAAAAAAAAGGTAATGAGCTCTGTATATTAAGCTTCTCATGCATATGGAGACCTAACAAACTGGTGGTTCTGGAATCTGCTGCGTATGTGATCAGGTTAACTTCTAAACAGACCAAAAATCAAACAACCTACAGAATTATAGGCCTAACTCCCGGGCCTCTCTGTAAGTATCTCTGAGGTGGATCCTAGTAATAAATGTTTTTATGAAAGTACCTCATGTGACTTGAATGCACAGCCAGGTTTGAGAACTTCTGTCCCGGGTTGACTGAGTAACAGTACCCTTTAGGTTCAGTTTGTGTCTCTTTGCAATTCCAAATAGTCTGTAGTGGAGCTGCCAGAAATCTCTGAGTCATGATTGATAGTGGATTATTTATGAAATAAGTCTCTGGAAGTTTTATAACATAATTTATAATTGTCAGGTATAACTTTTATTCCATTATATCTTTGAATTTTGGTATGTCTTGCATTAAAGCTACTCTTACAGAGAATTTTTATTCTCTAATCTCATATTTCAACAAGCTTCTTTTTACTCTAAAAATTCTGATTTTAAAAATTATTTGAAATAACATTGATACCAAAATGAGATGATATGAGCAAAAATGGATTTTTAGTGGTATCAAATTACCCTCTTTTGAATGGATGAGTAAAAGTTTAATTGCATTTTAGAAAGCATCTTTTTACCCCCAGGGAATCCTGTAACTAGAAATATATCACCTACTTTTGGAAAACAAACTGTAGCTGTCTGATTAAGCAGAATCCATTGATTTGTTTCCAGCAGACCCAGTCTTTGTCTCTGAGTCCCGTGTAATGATTCAGTACAAATCACTTTATAACCTTACTTTTCTATCATTCAGTATAGTGTTTGTTTTCAGACTTTATCTTTAGTTGTCTGTCTCCTAGGTTTAGAACATCTTGTTTTAAAATGTCAGAAATTTTAAATATGGACTCTGACTTCCATCATATCTGGATGTATTTTAAGGGCTTATTTCCATCAGAAATGTTATGTGTGAAATATATGTGTTAAGGTATCAGCTCTAGGCTTGTTTATCTTTGACTTTTTCTGAGTTTCCCTATAAAAACATCTGAAGGCCAGGGCTGAAGGAGATGATAGAATAACACCTCTTTTAGCAACAACATGCGACTCTGTATACTGACTCTGGTTTGAAATATGCTGACTCTGATTTCTTACATTGCAGGCTCAAATGTCCTAATTTACCCTTTGTATATCTCTATGAACTATTCTTGAGCTTTTATGTAATCTTGTATGAAAAATCAGCCAGCCATTTTATTTTGGAATTTACTGACTAGCTAAATACTATCTAGTACTCACTCAAAGAGTGCAATATTCAAGAAAATGCTGAGTAGTATTTGGATTTTAGCTTGCCTGTCATGAATATTCTCTTTAATATTTTACCAGTCCTCTTTAAATTTTTTCCAGTTAAAAAATTCATTACTGTCTTATAATAAGTTCTGTTTCTTGTTTATATGGCTGAAGTGTCCTTTCCAGCTTAGGAGATTTAGTGTGCTCATCTAAATTTCGAAGTGCATATGTGGGAGCCCAGCACTGTCACCTCGTTAGGCATCCAGCAGGTCGCTGGGGAAGGGATCTGGAAAGGATCTGGAAAGACGGATGGGACATCTAGATAGACGCAGATCTCACTCAATAGCCAGAGGGAAGGTGCAGTCACCAGGCAGGTGTGGCGTTTCTCTGAATGCCCAGCTATCCATGTCCTGGTGAAGCACAGCTCTTGGGCACCCTGCAAGTGTCCTTGCTCAAGGTCTTCCTCTCAGTCCGTTGGGTCCAGCAGCATATGTAAGAATTAATTGGGGTCAGGAATAAGATGAAGGCCTTGGATTTCATGCCCCTCTTTCCATCACCATTAAGTCTTCCCTCAATTTCTAACTTTTCTTTTATCATTTTTTTCCCATAGTAATCCACAATAAGGATTTCCACAAGGCAATTCCTAATAACCCTTTAGACGAGAACACAGCAGAAAAAGTTTATCTTCTCCCATAGGTGAAGCGGGGCTCAGGCTTTAGACAGATAGTGCCAGATCTTATGAGATAATTTTCACTGAATATGGGTGATGACCACATGAGAGGATTAGTTAATTGGCTTCTCCTGTTAACATCAACAATGACAACCACCACCAAAAGGAAAAAAAGCAAAAACCAAAGCCAGCTTTCATATAAAAAATAGAGTATTTCCTATCCGTAGTATTCAATGAACAATATCGGAAACAACGAGAAATTAACTGTCTTTACAATGTAATGCAAAGTAAATTACAAAAATAAGTAAATATCTATAGCTAGACACGAAATCCACTTGCATTTATTGTGCATCCACTGATTTCAGTCCAATTCAGATATATTATTTAATTGTATTTATCCTTACAAGATTTTAATGAATTATTTTTAGACTCATTCTAAAGATGAGTACACAAACAGGTTAGAGTTGATAAATAACTTGGCCTAGCATCAGACAATTATTACTAAATGTTATATGAAATCTTTTTTTTTTTTAATTTGAGACAGAGTCTTGGTCTGTCGCCCAGGCTGGAGTGCAGTGGCGTGATCTCTGCTCATTGCAACCTCCGCCTCCTGGGTTCACGCAATTCTCAGTCCTTAGCCTTTCAAGGTAGCTGGGATTACAGGGATGCGCCACCATGCCTGGCTAATTTTTGTAATTTTACTAGAGAGGAGGTTTCTGCCATGTTCAGTGGGCTGGTCTGGAACTCCTGGCCTCAAGCAATCCCCGCCTCAGCCTCTCAAAGTGCTGGATTACAAGCGTGAGCCACTGCACCTGGCCTGTTTTTGTTTTTTGCTCTTTTCCTGTTGGCTGCTCTCAACCCTGTTAACAGAAGTCAATTGCCCAGTTCTCTAATGTCAGCATTAACCATCCTCAATGAGAGTATCTCGATTCAGCATTGTCTTTCTAAAACTTTAGTTCTGCTTACCCTACAGGAGAGAATACATGTATTTTATTTTATTTTTTTCTGCTTGGGTTCCTGCTAAAGGGTTATTATAATTTTTCTGACTTTTTAACTTTTTCATTTCATTATTTTTTTCCATAATAAACCTCAATGAGAATTTCCAAAAGGAAATTATGTTGCAATTTCTCCTTCTTACCTTGTAGTGTTAGATGAAACCTGTAGAACACTGCTGGGTACTAATGGAATTAATCGTAACTCTAATTTTATTTAAAAGAAGTCTGTTGTTGGTTAGCTTCTGCTCTTTAGCATATTTTAAAAGTCTCATACTATTTGACATTTTTACATAGACTTTTAAACTGGAATGCCTGCTGAAATTTGTTTTTCAGAATTTATTTATATAATTATAGAACTTTTCACCTTTAATTTGTTAGTATTTGAAGTCTATGGATGGATTTTTATCATGTTGAACCATATATGCATTTATGGAATAGGTACAACTTGGTAGACTTATTTTAACATACTGCTTGATTTCATTTGCAAATGTCCATTTCCTGACATTCTAGTTAATTGAATTACTGGCTTTCCCTAAAGCATCAACACTTTAGTGTTCTTTCTTTCCATAATAACATTGGTGCTCACAGTCTAAAAAATCTAGCTTTTTCTGTGCCAGACTTAAAGGTTAGTTATATTTTAATACTACATGTTTTATGCAGCTCCTTAAACCTCAAATCAGAACTACTGGTAATAGTTGACTCCATATGTTCTCATTAGAATTCTACCAAATATCTGGCTGGGTAGCTGCCCTCGTCAAGTGGAACATGTAACCATCAAACTGAAGCATGAATTGGGGATTACAGCTGTAATGAATTTCCAGACTGAATGGGATATTGTACAGAATTCCTCAGGCTGTAACCGCTACCCAGAGCCCATGACTGCAGACACTATGATTAAGCTATATAAGGAAGAAGGCTTGGCCTACATCTGGATGCCAACCCCAGATATGAGCACTGAAGGTAAGGATCAGAAGAACTGTTCTGCCTCCTTGCTGACTGTGTTTCAGAGAAACTCTTGCTGGCTCTTTGTCTGTCTATCTATAATTTAATATCTTAAAAATCAATGGTAAAAATGAAAAAATATAAGATTTTAGATTTAATATATATAATGCATATGTTTTTCACACTGTGGCTAAGATTCTGTTTAATGTGGCTTCTTTAATTTGTTTTCTCATTGAACACATATTTATTGTGTATGTACCGGGTATGTGGCATTATGCTGGTAGCTGGGCACACAACAGTAAAGAAAGAAGGGCATGCCTCCTGCCCCCACAGAGCTCATAGTCCTATAGGGATGGCAAATGTTAATTACATGTCTAAAAGTAGAATTTTAAAACTATGATGAATTTTTTTATTAGAAAAATACATAGATATTGCTATGAGATGATGTACAGGTAATCAGGCCAAGGAAGGGGGGTCAGTGAGGGATTTCTTGGAAAGTAGTGTTTGGGCTAAGATCTGAGGGAGGGCTGGAGGAAGAGTGTCCCAGGCAGAAGCAGCAGCTTAAAAGAATCCTTGTGGCAGGAGAGAGCATAGAGCGTTGCAAAAACTCAAAAATCAATTTGGCTATGGATCAGAGAATGAGGAAAAATGATTTTGCAGTATTTGAGCGACAAAAAGGACTTTAGACGCTATCCTATAGCAGGAAGAAGCAGTTGTGCAGTAAGACTAGTTCCACACTAGTTGCAGCACAGAGAGGAAGGGGTCTGAGAGGAGTGAGGACTGTGCTGGAGGAGGGTTATGCACGGCAAGCACGCATTCCGGGCAGCGACAAAGGGAGGCACTTGAGGTGGGCATGGCTTTGATAGGTAGATGTGGAGGGAGAAAGGTACGGTTGGGGGAGCAGCAGCACAGGCCACGGCACAAAAGCATGGCATTTTGGAGGAATGATATGGATTTTAGCCCGGTTGTAGAATAGGGTACTTGTTGGAATGGGAATAACTACAGTCAGTGGAGGAGAGAACCAAGTTACACCGATAGTATCAAGCCGCTGTCAGCAGGGGGCAGCAGAGAGCTTTGGAAACGGCAGAGGCTGAGCAGTTTGGTGACCTCCTATCCTGGGGAAAGAAGGGCGGTGATGTCCAGCTCAGAGATGTTTCTATCTTTAGCCCTCTTCCCCCAAATGTATGTTATGTACATAACACTCTCCTAAGCAATTTACAAGAATTAGCTTATTTAATTCGCATAATAAGACTCCAGGCAGATATTGTAGTTGTCTCTCTTTTGCAGAGGAAGAGACTGAGGTACAAAAAAGTTATTGCCCATATCATAGAAGTAAAAAGAGGCCCATTCCGAATTTCAAGGCTGGCAGTCAGACCCAGAACATTGCTGCAGACAGCAGCTTTGCCAGCTATGAAGCTTCTCCTCGAGTTCTCACACGGATGCTTCAGGCAGGTTCTTCAGACCCACGTAATTTCAACCCCTTATGTTCACGATCATCCAGAGTTAGGCAACGCCTATAAATTGCAAGGGAAGTAGCTTGTCTCTCCAAGAGTGAATGGTCTGCAAGACAGATGACAATGAGGACCATAGGAAACCTATGTCCCTGGGCCTCACCCACCTGCGCCTTTTATGGAGATCAGGTGATCTTCCTGGCCAGGCTGGGCCCCTTTGTGGGTCTGTGTCTAAGCTAAACCATCACTGGGGATGGGATATAATTTTTGTTCCTGAAGGTGGAGAGAGCTGTTGACAGTCTGGTTATTCCTCTTGGTGACCTGATCTAAGGAAGCGTGATTTAGCTGTAAGAGTGCTGCCCTTCTTCAAGGAAGAAAAAAACAAAAACAGCTTCATAAAAAGACGCACATTGGTTGAATCTAGGTGATATTCACCTTGTCCAGCTGGTTTTCCTGTTTTCAAAACAGAGAAGACAGGATTTGCAGGGCTGTAGCTTCCAGAGAACACTTTGATGTTAGCATCTCTGAATCTGATTTGATAGCATTGTTATCCCATTGGAGAATGATGTGAGATGAGGCTGGGAGAAGCTGGGCTGCCAGCCGTGCCATATATCCCCCGCTCCTCCCGTCCCAGCACACACACTGATTACCTGAAGGCTTTGCTGACAGACAGGTAATTTGCTGGTTAGTTTTGGACTCTGCAGAAGCCTGAGGGAAAACTGTATCCCCAAGGACCCATTGTAGTTCTACTCACACCTTTTTTGGGGTCAGTGAGTCACCAGGTCACAGTCATATCTGTTAGTGCGCAGCGTCACTTCTTCCAGGCTGAGACAGTGGGACAGCCCGAGAGCTGCATAAGGCAAGCTCGCACTTGATAAAGGGCCAACTGTAAGACCCACTCATGGATTTCTTTGGCTTGGTCTAAGCTGGGGGAGTAACTGAAGGATTAATGACCACTTCTGCGTGACAGGGGAACTTTTCACAAACAGACCAATCTCTGTGGTTTACAATATTAACCCAGTGAACTCATAGATTAATCAGCTGAATATTTTTTAGAACTCTAGAGAAAAACCCACTAGGAAGTGTTTTGAGCTGCAGCATTATGCTGTCAGCTGAAGTCTGAGTTAGGCTTGACTGTCACCGCTGATTGTCACAGACCTGTTACAATCAATCATGCCATCGATTCTTACTCTTGTACACTTTGTCGTGTGTGGAAGGGTGGTGTAGATTGCTTTTTATCTTTTATAAAAATTTTGGCTTGTGTCTTTCACGTAGGAAATGAAAATCTGCCAAATCTAAGACTCACCTGAAAAAAACAAAATGAAACAAATCTGCTCATTAAAATTTTCTTTGCATAGAAGGTATTCAGGTTGTTTTGACCTCTGTCCTTGCAGTGCTATTTATAACCAGTGTCTACCCTTGCCTCCCAAATGAGTTCATATGCTTTGCGAAGTCCTCTGTTGTCAAAGTCTGATTTCTTTCCCCTCACTCAACACACAGAATTCAGCTCTGCGATTGCACAGAGATGCTGACCTTGGAGCCAGGACACCTCAGCATACGCCTTGTCACCACTGGGTAGCTGGGAGGATATCAGCAGGCTAGTTCCTGCATCAGGAAAACGAGGATAGGAATTTCTACCCCACAGGACTATATCAGTAGAATAAGGTGATTGATGTGAAAGGGCTTTGAAAATCACCAAGTTGAGACTGTAGGGTTAGTTCCAAGTCTTTAAGTTTCTACCAAAGGATGTTATAGATAAGATGAACCCTATCTATATTACATTACAAAGATAGGAAAAAAGATATGCCCCCACATTATATATTTATCATATATCTGCTTCTGGAATAAGAAAGGAAAGGGGTGCTTGTGTGTGTGTGTGTGTGTGTGTGTGTGTGTGTGTGCGTGTGTGTGTGTGAGAGAGAGGGAGAGAGAGAGACAGACAGAGAATTGGTAAGGCTGAAAGCTGTGGATTTCTTTCAGGATCAACCTTGGTTAAAGCATGTCTTTAGGGCCTTTTGACCCCTCTCCCTTATCTCAGGCCCTAATGCCTCAGGCTGCTTCACTCCTGCTCAAATGCTGTATCCCTCCCTCTCCTCACAACCTTGGCTGGCTCAATAGTGCTTTCAGGAAGCTTTTAATCCTTCCAGAGTCAGATTAGCCTGGAACAGGTGTGAGCCACAAGTTAGGTTAGAAGTGCCTAGTAGTGTTTCAGATCAAATAGGGTTTTATTGCCATTTTTCTAGTCTTCTTTTTATTCCTGTACTTAATGAGTGTGTATGGAACATTTACTGAGAACTGGGGCTTGTATTAAATTTCAGAGTCAGAAACACAGAGGGTAGAAGGTCTTGTTTGACCTGCAAAGGGTTTATAGTTTTTCATCTCAATTGTCAACATATGAAGTTTGGAATATTTTACATTAAATGATTGGGCTTTCTGTCTTTTCTTGAGTTTTTTTTTTTTTTAAGAATGGAACCGTCTTACCAAATTAAATCGTACGTGGAGCCTATCTGTAGCTTCTCTGTTGAGCCTGGTACGTCAAGGTGAACCCTCCCGGGGACCCTCTTTTTATTCCTTGGTTGGTTATATGTTAGGTTAGGCTTCCTAGAGTAGTTTTCAAGCAGAGAGAGATGGTCCTCTTGAGAGGGCTCCTCTAGGATAGGGCGGAAGTGTTAATTTCCAGGGAGGACATTATTCTCACCCAGGGAAAGAGCAGCAGCGTGGGCTGGTGAGTGAGTATGGAGGGACTGACTGAGAATCCAGATTGACAAGCTGCGGGCCAGCAAGTACCATTAACCAGGTAGATGAGCGAAGGACCCCGGTACAGTGGTTAAGACCCGAGGCTTCAGAGTCACACTGGCTGGGTTTGAGTGGCCACTTAGGGAATAACTTTGGGCAAATGTCTGTGCTCAATTTCTTCATATATAAATTGAGGATCACAGTGGTGCTGACCTCATAATTGTTAAGAGGTGGTTGTAAATGAGCCAGTGCATGTGAAATGCTTACAACGGGGCTGGGAAGGTAGAAAGGGCTCAATAAATGTTATCTACCACCAACAAAGGCGGGGGGGATTTGCAATCACAAGAGATCTAAATCAACCCCGCCTCCAGCTGAGACCAGGCTGAAATGAGTGGGCCCCTTGGACTGGCTACTGCTCTGGTGCCCTTCTTAATTATTTATTTGTTCTTTATGTTGTTTTAATATTTGATAACAATTCAGTGCAGTGGTTGAGTGATTCTGGGAGAAGATCATAAATGGCTGTGCCCTGATGCTGAAATCTGTGTGAAGCTGGGTGCCTTGGGAATTTCTCTGTGTTAGCTGACATGTACCTTTCAGGATTATGTGTCTGAGATCACAGAACCTCAAACTAACAAACTTCCTTTGTAACTTCTAGACTGTGTACACCCCTCTTGAAAAACCTTTTACAGATAAAATGAAAAGGGGAAGGTATTGCATCATGTGTGCTATTTGGTGCAGACCCACCCTAGGGGAACCTCTGGCCAGAGAGCTGGTCTGGGGAAGGGATCTTGACTAGGACCAGGGAGGATCTTGTTTGCAGGCTGGTTACACTGACGCAGTATGCGCCGAATGCCAGGGGCTGGGACTCTGAGTCCAGCAGCTCCTACTGCAGATGACCACTGGTCTATTCACATACTGGGCATCTGAGGAATACCTGAACCTATGTTAAATGATTCTTCTTTGTTTCCTACCAAGGGACATAGTATCTGGGGAGGCAGCCATAGCAGGGAGCTTGTCACATGACTCTAGCTATGGCTGGAGCAGGAAGAACCCATTCTTCCAGCTCCAGCAGCAGAGTTCCCTCCCACCCAGCTTTCCCTGGAGCGAAGCTCTCATACCCTCAGCAGAGTAGAAGCCCCACAGTGGAGCAGGCCTGTCTCTTCTCAGCAGGGCTGATCCACCGTACATTGGAGGTTTCGCTCCTCTGATCCCCCAGCGCAAATGGTGGCTCTGCCATGCTGTGCTCTCCGTGAGCTATGCTGTGAGACATCTCGCTGGCACACAGGATCCTCTCACCATCCTGTTGCATCTCCAGTGATGTTTCAGTGCCTCTAGGAGGGCACCATGAATAACTAAGTGGCAGGCCCACCTGGCTCTAATCTCAGAGTGCCCCAGAACCAGGCCTGGAGGTTTAGATGGATTAAAGTTTATGGTTCTGTTTGGACTATGAGGCATCAAATATACATAGAAGCTGGTGACTTTCTAATACAAATGCCGTTGGGAACCAGGCAGGGAACACCAGTATATGGCAACAGGGCTAGAGAAGGAAGGAGCACAAGGAGCCTGAGCCCTCCCTACCTGAAGACATTCCAGGTACAACGTTTCTAAATGGCTGTGTGGAGGGAGCAGTCTTAGATCTCTTCACTAGGGGGATTAACAGAGCTGTAGCATCAAGACTGGGACCAGGGAAGATCTTGTTTGCAGGCAGGTTACACTGATGCTGTTTGAGCTGAGTGACAGGGGCTGGGGCTCTGTGTCCAGCAGCTCCTACTGCAGATGACCACTGTGGTCTATTCACATACTGGGCATCCTGAGGAATACCTGAATATACATTAAATGATGCTTCTTTGTTTCCTGCCAAGGGACATAGTATCTGGAGAGGCAGCCACAGCAGGGAGCTTTAGATTGTTATCCTGGCTTCCATGTGGACTCTGCTCCTTCTCAGAGCTTGCTGAGCCTGAAGCTGAGGTAGATGCTTGGCTGAGTGGAATGGCCACTGAGGGACCTTCAAGCCACGTTGTGGTCCTTGGTAAACTCTGTCCTTCTCAGGTGCTGATGCCTGATCACAGTGTGTTATACTGGCTCCTTCAGGGTCCTTGCATTTCAACAAAGGACATCTAAAGAGGGAAGTCTAAACTTACAGTAATGGCTGTCATGGGGAGTTCTAGGCCTCACCGCAGATCCCCAGGTGAAATCTTTTGAGGGAGGGGTGTTCCCACCTCTTTGGTCATCCAATGAGGATGCTGACCTGAAGGGCACACAGGGTTCTTATTTGTGACTATCAGAGGATCCTTTGGGGCCACGGTGTTCCTGTAGCTAGAGAATGCCAAGTTATAAGCATGGAGCTTAACCCAGGATTCACTTCCCTCTTCCTTTCCCTTTGAAATAATTTACATTGACTGCCCCCTGAAAACAAACCAACCCCAACTTACAAAATACCTCTGTACTGAGAACCTGTGAGCAGAAGAAACTTAAGGCATCCATGAGTTCAAAGAAATGATTATGGGACGCACCTCTGTCCTACAGCATGAAAGAGCAAGCAGAGTCTACCAGGCCTCAGCAGGGCACGGTGCATCCTCTCCCGGCCTGATGAGAAGACATTTGAATAATCTCGTCATCAAAATAGTAACCATGAAGCGATAATAGCTATAAACCCCAAATTATAGAATTATAGAATTCCCCAAAAACATGGAAATTAAATTAGTTTTAGAATTCATTGTATCTCGAGGGAATAAATGAACAATTGGTTCTCCCATCTGTATCGAACAATGTTAGCCATTCCGTTGAACAAATGAAAATGAGCATATGTTGAATGAGCAGATTGATTCCTTTAACTAATATGAGCCACTTCTGTGTTTTGCATTTAACTGGAAGATACTTTTGGATTCCCTCAAATTCAGGTGGTCAGATCTGACAACTGATTTTTTTTTTTTAATCCACGAAAACTCTGACCAATCTCTGCAAACACTTTTGATGTGAAAGTGCATTCTGAAGACAGGAGATAGGTCACTTTTCTTTGGGGGGTATTTGCATCGATGGTGAAGTCACTCAAAGAAGCAGCAATACTGAGAGAAGGATTAGAAAGGGCCTCTCGCCTCTGGAGTGCCCTTTCCACTTTTCTATTATCAGGTTTTAAGGTGGCCTCGCCTTTTCCTTCACAATGAGGGGAGAAAGCAAACTCTTGTATCCCCGCCTTGCTCTATGCAGTCCTGTGATGTGAGGCTGAGCTGGAGGAGATCTCAGCAGCGGTATCTGGAGGTTTCATTATTCACATGTGTGCTGTGCTCTGCTTTCCCCACCGCAGGCCGAGTGCAGATGCTGCCCCAAGCGGTGTGCCTGCTGCATGCGCTGCTGGAGAACGGACACACCGTGTACGTGCACTGCAACGCCGGGGTGGGCCGCTCCACTGCAGCCGTCTGCGGCTGGCTCCAGTACGTGATGGGCTGGAATCTGAGGAAGGTGCAGTATTTCCTCATGGCCAAGAGGCCGGCCGTCTACATTGATGAAGAGGCCTTGGCCCGGGCACAAGAAGATTTTTTCCAGAAATTTGGGAAGGTTCATTCCTCCCTTTGTAGCCTGTAGCTGGTCAGCCTGCTTCTGCTGCCTCCTGATTTCCCTGAGGAGCCTGGGGTGATGTTGCTCAAATGACCTAGAAACAAGGATTCTACCTGAACGGAAAGGACTGTGTGACTTCCCCCAAGCCAACCACGTCCACCTGGGGATGGCTTTCGATGATGCTTTGTTTTGGGGCTGTGTCTTTGAAATAGTGTACAAGAAAGCTGTGACTGACACACGAGAAGAAGCCTGAAGCAGTTAGGCTGTGCGTCAGACAGAAGTGTAATGCATGCAGTTTCTGCTGCCTGCAGGCGGAGAGGCCTTTGATTCACAGCACTGCATGTGTTGCATGATGGATCCATGACAGCGCTTTCCTGTTGAACTGAAACTCTTTGCCATGTAGAGGAAAACATCGGGAGCCATATGGATTTCATCACCAGTGTGTGTGTGTGAGCTGGTCAGTTGCCAAGGGAGGAAAGAAGGTTAGAAGCCTGAACCATGACAAAAGAAGAGCTCACTATGTTAAAAAATAATGGCTTTTAGGAATTGTATTTTATCCTGCCTCACGGTTATTAAAGTCTGTTCTAAGGCATCACCTTCCTTCTCTACCCAGCAACCCTGTGTAATAACCATTTGTTGTTTTTTCTTGCTCAAAACTGCCAAATACATAAAAAATACCCTTATTTTTAATAGTTGAGACATGAAGAAATTAAATTGAAGCTTAATGAGTGTAGGTAACTTGCCCAAGGTCTCATGACTAGTCGAGGGCGAGCTGGAGTTAATAATCTGTATTTACTGGACTTGGTGCTTTTTTCAACACACCTTGTTAATTTGTTTTCTCAGCATCATGGAGTGCGTTCGGTTTTGTCTTTCTCAGGGTCTGGTCGATATGCCTGCAGGAGTTTCTATAGCGAGACACAGAATCGTGTTCTGATCCGTTGCCAAAGAATCTAGGAAAGTGGTTGTATTTTGTGCAAGCTAATTTAAAATGTGATGGGCTGTTTTAAGGCCAGAATGGAAGCTCATGAGAGGAACTTTACTACTGAAAGAACCCCAGTGACCAAATCCATGGATAATTGATTCACAGCCCCGGCCCTCCTGGCTTAGCCCTCAGTTTAGTATAATATGCAGGTCCTGAGCCTCCAGACTATGTAGCTCATCTGTCTTGGTTCTACCGGAAATACAGAGATGAACAACTTTGCCTTCGAAAGTGTGCAGCCTAGAAACAGACCAGCGTTCAACCAGCTGTAAAGCAGGATTGGACCATGAGTGCTATGCCAGAATAGGGAGCAGTGGTTTTTTCAATCGAGAGCCTGTATGTACAAGGTGATTTACAGTCATAACCAGTTTAATCTTCACAATAGTCAGTGAAGAAGGTCTCATTATTTCCATGATAAAGATGGGGAAACTAAGTCTCAGAGGGGTTAAAGCAACTGCCTGTTGTCACATGATGAATAAATAGATGAGGTGGGTGATATACAAAGCTGGGTTTGTCTGACTGAAAGCCCATCCTTTTCCTATTAAACTATGATGCTTATTTATTTTTCTGCATTTCCTTTCTTCTACAAACATATATTGATAGATACAAGAGACTCTTATTTAGGAGGTGTGGGGGACAAGAAGGATACACGGTAAGTTTTGGTGGAGCTCAGAGGAGGGGAGATATCACTGTGGCAGTTAGGGAGGATGACATTTGCTTTGGGCAGAAGCAGCTGGACAGGACACATTTCTCATATAATTTTACGAAGTTAAATTTATAAGCTAGCATGGAGTAATGTGAAGTCCAGCTCCCTTGCTAAAAATAACTAGATGTAACAATTGGTATTCAAGTAACTCATTGCAGTCATAATGTGTTGTGAAAATTTAATCTCAAAAATTGAATTTTTAAACTGTGTTTCTGTGGCTGTGTGAATTTCTTTAATGTCTAAGAAATCCATCTTCATCATTTCCATGATACAAAGACTTTTTTCAGATGGATTTTTCCCTTTGTTCCTTTTTTCTCCTATAGACAAAATCAGGTTAGGACTATTAATGAATGTTTTGGAATAAACTTTCTTTTCCTCAATGAATGGGATGTTTAATGTATTTCAAAATCACCCCAAAATTTTGCTAAATAAAAGCATTTACAAAGACCTTTGTGTGCAGGATTTTAGACATATTAGCAGCTTAGTCTGAAATCTAGAAGGACAAATTTTGTTTCCTTATTTGTAAAGGGGGCAAGCCACTGAGCTAAATTGTTTATTTCTTGTCACCCTTCCTCTTTCATTAACGATCAAAATTGGCAGTTACATGACAAAGGAATTCAAAGGTGAGGGACCACAGAGAAGTGAGGATGAAAACTTAGAGTGTCTGAGAAAATCAAAGCAGATACTATGCCATGAGTTGCTTGTCACTGGTGTTTAACAAAACTTTTCAATCCCAGATTTCTAAAAGGCAATATAAGAAGATCTCAATCACGGTGAAGGAATGTCTGAATGAGGTTGTTTTCTTTTAGACTTGAAATATTATCCTTCCATTATTCTGCTTGCTAGCATTAGGAAAAATCTAAAGCACAACACAAAACACTCTCTTTGGCCATCATTAAGCTGTGGTAAAAACCACTTGGCTTGGTGTAAGAAATAATGATGAAAAACGTGGTTAAGACTTTGGAAATGATAAGAAAGTAATGAAAGGAGAGATTTGAAAGTGAGTTAGGAAATAGGAAATGAAATGGAACTTGTCACACATGAAAAATCACTGAAGAGCTAAACACGGAATCGGTTGGATTAGAAGTTAAAGCTGAAAGTATCTTTCGAAATAATCTCATCTAGGGATTGGCCAACTGGTTAATTGCATGGTGTGTTTAACCTTTAGGAGAAGGAAATAAAAACCATGAAGAGGAAGGGAAAGGTACCTTCAACCAGATGTTGAGCTTTTTCAAATTGAGATGTTCTCACTTTTAAAATACTCCTTGCATAGGTATACAAGCAAACCACCGTAGCACATGTATACCTATGCTGGAAGTATTTTAAAAGGGAGAACAAGCCAGGCACGGTGGCTCACGCCTGTAATCCCAGCACTTTGGGAGGCTGAGGTGCGCGGATTGCCTGAGCTGAGGAGTTCGAGACCAGCCTGCACAATGTAGTGAAACCCCATCTCTACTAAAATACAAAAAAAAAAATTAGCTGGGCCTGGTGGTGTGCGCCTATAGTCCCAACTACTCAGGAGGGTGAGGCAGGAGAATTGCAAGAACCCGGGAGGCGGAGGTTGCAATAAGCTGAGATCACGCCCTTGCACTCCAGCCTGGGTGACAGAGCGAGACTCAGTCTCAAAAAAAACAGGAAGAAAAAAAGTGAGAACAATGTCTTAATTTGAAGGAGCTCAACATCTGGTTGAAGGTGATTTCCCTTCCCCTTCATGGTTTTTCTTAGGCTGCTGTGGAAAAGTAATTTTTCCATCATTTTGCCATTTAAACAGGATGTATTTTGTTATGATTATTTAAATTTTTAAAAATTTAAACATTTTAAAATCAGTAATAATAGTATATGTACAATTTGATATTATAATCTATATCAAAAACATTTCTCCGTGTGGCTGTGTAGCGTTCATTATCCTGATTTTTGTGGCTGCACAATATTCTACCAAATATGCTCTTTAAATGTATTAAGCTTTTAATATATTATTGGAAATATACATTATAAAATAATACATTAATGGAAATATATAAGATAATACGTTATTGGAAATATAGGACTTAATGATATAATAGTTTAAACTTTTAAATACTTAAATAATCATTTTTAATATATACCTTTTTCTATATTTTGGGCAATTTTCTTAGGATAATTTCTCAAAATAGTTATGGTACTAAAAGATATAAATACCTTTAAAGCATGTGATAGATATTTCTAAATTGCTTTCTAGAAGAATTATATCAATTTACATTTCTATCAGCAGTGAATAAATGTGCTAGTTTGAACATGATAAGCAAAAAAAAGGAATAATCTCATCTAATGCCATTGTTTTACAGAGGAGCAAACAGACCCAGAGACATCAAATGACTTTTTGCTATCACAAAAAGTTGTAACTGGGGACCAAAGGTAAAGGATAAGTCAGGAAGAAAGGTTCAGAGACTTATTGTGATACTGAGAAGACATAGGAGAATTAATGGGAAAGAGAGCAGACAGTATCGTTGGTGGGTAAGAAGTGGTGTAAAGATTAATAAAAATTGGAGTAAGGGAAAGAAAAATGGCTAAAATGAGAAAAAGTAAAGACCAGTGTCTTTTCCAAAAGAAGAAAAGGCAGGTGTTTTCTGTGGGGGTAAGAGAGAGAAGGTGTGACTAGAGAAGCAGAGGGGGAGATTCGAGGTTACGTGCCCAGGAAAGAGATGTGCTAAGTATCCACTTATTTGTCTGTGGGACTACATCGTAGTAGGAGAAGGAAGCAGCTAGATGTAACATGCTGAGCAAATCATGGAACAGGTGTGCTGTTGCTAGAAAAAGAAGAAAATCTAATAGAAGATGAGACTGAGACAAAGGGGAAAGGATTGACAAAGCTACCTTCATTATAGCAATAATAATGGCAGTAATAAGAAAGAGGAAGAACAACAGTAAAAACAACTCTGTTCCTTTTCTAAACCATTGTTCTGGAAGTCTTCCCTGACTCCATGAGTGGAAATACACTTGCAGCTGCTCAGGACCCAAACCTCAGCGTCATCCTCGACTCCTCTCTTTCTTTCAAATGTCACATTCAAGCCATCAGGAAATTCTGTTAAAGCATCTACAGTTTCTGTGTTTTTCCTCCTTTACTGAACAATGCTGGTAGGAGCCAGTGTGATCCCAAGACTGGATTTCAGAAATGGTCTTCCACCTGGTCTCCCTGTTTCTGGCCTTCTCTCCCAGATCCTTCCTCTATCAAACCTACTCTCACATAGTGGTCAGGCTGCTTCAATAAAAATGTTAACTCAGGTCATGTCACTCCAGTGTTTAAAAGTTCCAGTGACTTCTCACATCACTTGGGGTAAAAGTCAAAGCCCTTTGAGGCCCTGTACAATCTGGTCACCTGTTACCTCCTGACCTCCTACTTACTGCCTCCTGCCTCTCTCACTCTGCTCTAGCCACACTGGCCTTCTTGCTGTTCTTTGACTATTCCAGGCAGGGTCTGGCCTCAGGGCACTTGCTCCTGCTGTTCTCTTTACCTTGGAATGCTGCTACTCCAGGCATGCACATGGAGAGCTCACTGCTCTCCCTCCTTCAATAATGCCTGCCTGGGCTAACCTATAAAAAATGGTCTGATCCCATTTCAGCCTTCCTTATCCACAGTCTCTGCTTTATTTCTCTTTGTAGAACTTATTAATGGTCAGCATATTACATAAATTACTTATTAGTTTTATTTTTTTTTGCATGCTGTCACTGCAATGTAAGCTTCACTGCATTAAGGCAGAAACTTATATCTGTTTTGTTTGGTGATGTACCTAGAGTGCCGATAACAGAGCGTGACATAGTTAAATGAGTGAAGGACAAGATAGCTAATAACCATTGAGAGCATGCACCATTACAGTTATTGTCTAAGTGCTTCACATATATCAGCCTACCTTATCATTTCAAAAACTCCAGAGGATATTATCCCATTTTACAGATAAAGACACTAAGGTTAGGGAGAAGGTGAACTTATTCTGAGGCAAGTGAAGATAGTTTTACTTCTGATTTGGTGGAGTTAGCTCTTAATGAACCACCCATTATAATCTCTGTTCATATTAATCTGTTTGCTAGGGCAGCCATAATAATGTACCACAGACTAGGAGGCTTAAGCAACAGATGTTTGTTCTTGGTATGGTTCTAGAGTGTAGAAGTTGGAGATGAAAGGGCGAGCAGGACCGTTCCTCCAGAGGGCTGCAAGGGAGAATGTGTTCAATGCCGCTGTTCTAGCTTCTGGGGGTGTGACAGCAACCTGTGATGCTTCTTGGCTTGTAGAAGCATCACCTTGTTCTCTGCCTTTATCTTCACATGGCGTTCTCCCAGTATGGGAGTCTGTGTCTACAGGTCCCATTTTTAAAAGGGCCGCAGCCACACTGAATTGGGCCCATCCAACTCTAGTGTGGCCTTATCTTAATAAATTACATCTGTGTTCACCTGATTTCTGAATAAGGTCACATTCGGAAGTAATGGACGTTATGACTTCAACATTTGAATTTGTAGAAAGCACAAGTCAATGGACAGCACTACAGAAAACAACTACCTGAAGACTATAGGGCGTGAAAGAAACCAGGCAGATTGGAGGGGAATGGAAATGTGAAAAGAGGGATCAGATTGGGTTGTTTCCCATTTATAGGTTTAGCTTATAAAAGAGAATTATTGAAAGAGTAGTCAGAGACAGACAGAAAATTGGAGCCATTTAAATAAAAGACTGGGTGAATTCCTGTACCGTTACTGTATCAGGCATTATCCCAAATTACTAAAGGACATATTTTAACAATATAAAAATTAAAATGATTGCTGTCCTCAAAAATCAATGCAAAATTATAGACTGGTGTTTAAACAATGCCAATTACCGCTCAGCACCTCACATGTTTCGGGGACTAAAGCTATGTATATATATATTGTGATTTCTGATAATATATGGACTTATTTGCCTTTGTTCATTTTTTTATTTCAAAAATGTTTTGGCCTTTTCTATGTGTCTCTTCTTGCTTTTATTTTTGATAATTATGTCTTCCTCCTTTCAAATAACTTAAACACTAACTCATGTCCACTGGCGTTCATACTGCCTTCCTGTTGACCTGATTACAACTGTACTTATGAGTTGTTTTAGATATACTTCCTTTTTCTTTTTGTGTTCTTACATTTTTTTTAAATTGTGAGAAAGTCAAAAAAGAAATGTTGGTGGGGACTTAATCTTCATTTCCAGACAGACCTACGATTACCGCTCCACCCCATTTCTAGCTTTCTTATCTGTCCTAGATTCCGTTACTACTGAGAGTTAAGCTCAGTTACTCTCAAAACTCCAGTGAGCTTATGAGTGCCCAGCTCTCCTGCAGTACTGCATCCCTCATAAGAGATTCTGAGTCACATCTTCCTTTGCTGTAGTTCATCCATCAGCTCACTTCCAAAAGCATTCTATCATGCTGAGCTATCTTATCTGCTAGTAATCCTTTT